CCCCGCAATCAAACAATATGGGGGTGGGGGGCAAGGCAAGTAGAACAGGCTGGCCTGAGTGACAGGTAACCGTCTCAGTGCTCAACTCCACAGATACTTCTTTAAGACAGAGTTTCTATAGTAAAATCACCTTTAAAATTAACAATGGAAGTTTCATTGCTGCTATCTACTGAGAGAACTAACTGAAAAAAGACAAGGCTGGTTGGTTATCGCATGCGACAGTCCCACCCACTTAGTGCTGGCTTTCTTCCCCTCAGATCAGCTCCACGCTGGCTTTGCCATGGCTAATTTTTGCTAAAGCAATACAGCAGACCCTCCTGCAGAACACATCTACCTATTTTTCAAGTAGTACTGCCATCTTGGCAATGGGAAAGTTTCCACCAAAGTCTGGAGAAGATTCTCCATTCCCAGCCCAATGCCACTTGCTCAAGCAGCAGGAAGGGCATCTAGGGTCTCTCTGCAGTATCTCTGGAAGCTAGACTACCCTTCACATTCCTCTTCTAGGATCCTGGCTGCTGGTACTCGGCTTCCTCTCCAAACAGCTCGGCAAGACCGCTCAGCTGCTCTGCTTTGTCCTCTCTAAGCCCTGCCTCAGCTTCTTCCTCTGCACCTAGGAATGCACAGGAAAGTGACAGAGCATGATTAGAGAGACAGACACAGAGGCTGTCTCATGCATCCTTGGAGTCAGCTGCAGGAGGAAAAAAAAAATCAGGAGCACTACATCTAACAGCTCTATTGTGGATAAAATTCTGCCCGTAACACCTCTTCAATACATGGCGCCATCAACAGGGATTTGAGTGGAAGTGTTTGACCTCCATTTCCGCACCCCAAGGGTGGCTGCAGGTGAGCATGGCTATCAGACGTTGCTTCTTGATGTTGATCTCAAAGAGAGGATACAGGATGAGTTAAATGGTAAGGAATTTCAAACCTGGCTGCCAGTAGTCTGCATTCATACACTGTGGGCTTCAACCAGGTCTCTGCTCCTAGCTGACGCAGAAAATAACTTTGGCAAGTTCTCTTCTCTCCCAACTGCTGCTGCTGTCTTTAGAAGCTCTCTAGAGAGTTGGCATTTCTTTTCAGAATTGAATGAGTTTAAAAATACAACCCAAGGAACCTCCTCTGGGGAATGTGAGCAGCTTCTGGCCAAATGAACAGTCATCCAGACTACAGGCATTGGTCAGACGGTTAGAGAGTATGAGAGCAGAGAGAAAGAACATGCCTGGTTCGGGCTTCCCAAGGGCCATCTCTCTGCAGGATGCCCAGCTGCCACAGGGACACCGATTCTCGATGGAAAAAACAGCTATTATGAACAGTCCAAATGTCACCATTGAATCGACAACAGAATTGTTCCTTTCGCTAATTAAACTCCCTTTATCTGGGCCTGCCAGTCCTGCCTTAGTCAAGTGACCCACCTACCTGTAAACCCGAATGGATGCCTACTTGGGGACTTTACAGAGATGTCACGCAACATGGGGCAAAGACTCTGTTGGCTTAGTGTATTTTGCTTGCATGTCAAGACATCAGCAAAACAACGGAATGGCTCCGTTATGCTGGGACTCCACCCCAAGGTTTTCATACATAGGATACTCAAGGCCAAAAGCTGTCCGTGTTTGCTTCGTGGCCTCCAGACTCCCCTACTGTTTCCTGACCATGTGTAATCATGTATAATCAGGGAGTCAAGAGCCAGACAAAGCAGAGGTGGTCTAGAGACAGCTCGTTGCACAGAAGGAGCCAGAAGGCGTGAGTTTTTACTCACACCCACTAAAGCAACTGTCCGGCTGCCTGTCAGGACACAATGTGGTCCAGTCTGGGTAATCCAACACCCACGGAGCTGGAGCTCTCCCTGGTAGCGGAGATGACTCATGCCCAGACACTTAGGGTTGCCTTACGGTAAGGAATAAAAATCAGCTCCTCTACAAACAGTAGCAAATTCCCCCCCCACCTATAAAAATGATTGTCAAGCCATCTGTACAGGAGTGGGGGAAACTGAAAACATGGGAGTAACTGTCAAAGCAGCTTATGGAACAGGAGCTTACAATCTAAAGCATATGAAATAACCTGAGTAGGGACAGGGAGAAAGAGCAGTGCTGCCACCTGCCACTGACATTATCCTGATAGCGACAAAGCTTTGCACAGGTGCCCACCCTCCACTTACCCTCCTACGTTTCAGGATTTAAATGCGCAGAGAGACCGAGATTTCCAGAGCTGACTAAAGGTATCAGCCACATGCAATCCCCTTTGATTAACAGGGGTTGCACGGTTACATCCACTCCCTAGCTCTGAAAAATGTCAAGCTGTTTTGTTTCTTTGTGGTTAACATTTAGGATTCCCCCTCTGTCCATTTGAAAGGCAATTCTGTAGCTAGACAGTCAAAGATCAGGGCAGGAGAATGAGCCTAACAACACTGAAAATGAAGCGCAGGTCCCTGAATGCTCCCTCCTATCCCCCAGTGTGCCGTCTGCTATGAGCACAGTCATGTAAGGCTGTGCTTCCACATAACCCAGATATTGTCTAGAAAAATTGGCTGTGGAATTAAGCATGCTGAGCAAAAGAATCCAGTAGGAAGAAACTATTGGCAGATGCATCAACGGAAAATGGTGTGTAGGTAATGCACAGGAAGGGGTGTCCTATTTGAGAAAGAGAAAAACAAGCCGCCTAGAGCTCCAAGACTCACTCAAAAGACCGCGCGTCACTCGCACCCACTTCATAATCAACAGGCTTCTCTCATCTTCCGAGAGATTTAGTCTGTCAAACCTCAGGCCCTCTCTACATAACAAATAGCTCCTCTGGCCTTCAGTTCCACCACCCCTGTCACTTACCTGGTACAGTGAAGTCCTGAGTGTAGATGATATCATCTTCAATGTCGTACAAGTCATCATCTTCTTCCTCATTGTAGCCATGCAGATCTTCCAGATAAGGCACCACCGTCATACTCCTCCACCTGTCCTTTGTCTCTGGGCTGGGAGGGATGGGGACCAGAGCCTCTGCCTGAGCGTGTTTCTTACGAAACCAACTGTAAAGAGTCCAAGGTGCAGAACGTCAGTCTGGTTTCTCTTTTTACAGCACCACAGGAAGCCCCTGGCAGTTTGAGATTTTCCACCCGCATCATATCAAAGTTACGTGGGGTTTTTTTTTGTTTATGGATGGCCTCTTGGTCTGGTTTCTGCCCTTGTAGGTTTTTGAACAAGCAACACTGTGGAGGTGCCAGCATCTTGGCTTCTTGACTCCACTGTTCAGCTGTAGGAGATAATGGAAAGCTACGAGAGCCAATGTGAATAAAAAAGGGCATCCACACCACTGGTTGCCTTTCAACTAAGGGGAAGTTCTGATGACCTACCCTCCTTGCTCCAGAAAGCTATGTTTGGCAAAGCAAGAGACACATGCTGCGAGATAAACCTGACCGTGGGACAAATATCCATAACAGCATGACTGGAAATAGGGGCTGGAGCCTTCCATCTCAAGATCACCCCTCTTGAGTCTCGTCAGAAGTGACACAGAAAGTGAACCATGGCCCCACCACTTATGTGCAGGTAGTTCTTCAACAGCAGGGCTGATGCACCTTGGCAGAGAGCCGTGTAAGAGAAGCTTGCCCTGCAGCTGTCTGGGCTATACCTCTTTTGCAGGGAGAGGAGGGAATCCTACAACTAGGGCTGACAATCAGACACCTCCACTCAGCGTTTGAGCTTCAAAACAACATAGGAGGAAAAAAGAATTCACAGCAGAAGAGTTTAAGAACGACAGGTCTTTATCCCCAAATTGCCCTCCAGCAGGCAATTCCCTGAAGGATTGCAACAAAGCTTCTTCATGCTTTACCTTTCCACCCCACCCTTGTCTCGATGGAATTGAGTACCATTTAATCCCTCGCCCATGGAGCTGCTATATGTTTGGCATCTGCCCAGGGAAGAAACTTGGCACTGGAGGCCATTCCTAATCAGATTAAGAGGCCAATTGTCTTGCATCGTATCTATATCACAGGAGTCAGACAGGTGGCCTTTTACATCTTGTGACAGAGGCACTCCAGAACAGCTGCTGGCATTGGGCACTGGCATTAAGAACGGAGGTTCCTAGAAGTCCCCCCAGGCCCCTGCATGCCCAAGGTGGCAGTAGAGGAATCCAGTGTCGTTCTGCTTCCACCTACACTCAAAATTCCACACTCCTGTAACAGCTTCTGCACGCTTGCACCCAGGTGCCTCAGACACACTCTGCCATCCCTGGCAAGCACCCATTCCCCCAGTTATGGGTCCCAGGGCCCCTGCTAATGGAATGATGTGGGTGCCAGGAGGTTAACGCTGGTCATCCAGTTGCTTCCTCCCACCCCACAAACTGTGCTGTTGTGTGGCTTCATATCTGGTGTGCAGAGTGGCAGGCTGTCCCCAGCGCCTTTGAGTCTGGTGCATCGAAGCATTTTGTTGGCTTGCTCTAGGAGGGTTGCTCACCCCCCACCTCCATGCAGAAAATGACAGAGAGGTTTGAAGCAGATGCTGGTGAAGTGCAGCTGGGTTCCCAATTCAAACCCTGCTTTTGTACCATGGGCTGGGTGCTAATGAAACCATCAAGCCACTGCCTGAGATTGTAAGATTTCTTCTCCAATTAACTGATTTTAAATTTCAGGGTTCAAAGAGGTGCTGCTGTAGAGGTCAGAGATGGATATCCTTTGAATCTACTCGATGGAGGGCACTAGCAACACAAGCTTCACTGCACGCTGCACCCTGCCTCAAAATCTGGCAGGGAAGGCCTGGGAGTTTGTCTTCATTCCCTATTTGGTTCTTGGCCTATTTGCGCTGCCTGCTCCAGACGGTGCTAGGTGCAATGCAAATGTTTAGTTAGTTGGCGGCGTGTGCAGGCATCAGAAATAGCTTCCAGTTTAAATCCATCACAATAGCCAGTTGACTGGGGTCAGGAGGGGTGAGCTGAAGGGTTTGAACAAAGCTGTTGCGAACCTGAACCATCTGCATGCTATCACCTCCATAACAGTGTGATGTTCTGGTGGAAGTATCCACTAGAATGTCTCATTCTAATTGGGATAGACCAATTAGTATTTAAAGCAGCAGTGAACCCTTGTTTAAAACCCCACTTTGCCATTAGCAAACATGATCTGGAAATAAAAGTTATGAAGCAGTGTGAAAGGGATTAGATTTAAATTTTAATCTGAACTCCCTGGAAAGATTCTCAACTCCCCTACCCCATGTGAGGTTTGCTCTAAAAAGACAGCAAAAGATCCATAGTAAGCAAGACCTGCGAAGCCATTTTCAAACTGAGAAGGCATGAAATTTTGCCTTTACGCATTCCCTTTCATTCCCCAGTGAATTATTTCCTAGTCTCCTATTTTTCCCGGGTCCACGGTGGACAGTTGGATTACAAGCAGCAGAAACAGTCAGCTACAACAGCTCAGCATTTTAAGTGCTCAGTCCTGGCAGTTCTTCCTGCCTGTAAGTACTCTGAAGATGGTCCTTGGAGAAACAACAGCAGATGTGGGGTTTCATGGATGGGCAGTGAAGCCAACAACACCGTGCAGCAAGAAGTACCCGCTCTGTGACCAGCTGGCAGTGCTCTGCATTCAGACTGTGCATTTCTGAACACCTGCCCCTCAGGGGGATCTAGGACGAGTTCTGGCTTTTCAGGAAAGTTTGCTAAAGAGGGTGGCCCCAAGTTGCTAGTGCATTCTGGGAAAGAACGGCTCTGCAGAGGCTGATGGAGGATTTGGGATTTTTGTGGATGGGGAACAAGATGGAGACTTAACAAACAAAATGGAAACTTTACATGACTTATGCTAACTTACATATGTAGGCCTAAAT